CAGTGTCTGCCCACCCCAGCACTGCCCCCATTAAGCTGGAGAAGTGGCTTTGCGTTAGTGTTGGCTGTAAATCAGCTTTGGAGCTTCAGTGTAGGCGTAGATGCCTCCTCTGAAAGCCAGGAGCTACTTCGCACCCGCTGGGCCAGGCCCTCCTGGTAGCTCTCGGTGTGCAGCTGATCACACACTTACCCCCAGCAAAAGTATCCATGGTCTTAAAAAAAGGAGATCTTTTTATTTACATTTTTCAGTTCTTTACAGTTGGTGGTTTAAAACCCAGGACAAAAATACTCCCCAGAAGCCGTGGTAAACCTGTAAAACTGCTCGTTTACATTTTAAAACCCAGTAATAAATTGCACAGAAGTCTTCGGTTGTACAGAGCCATCACAAATATTGTATAAAACCCCAAAATCTGTAAATAGAACCACAGGAGTAAAGAATTAACAGCCACGAGTATTGGTACAAGGAAGGGCACAAGTTTTGAGGGTTATTCTACCGCATTAGTCTCTCTTGGCAAGGAGAGGTGGGACATTCCTGTTGCAGACAGTTGGAGATATCTTAAAATACAGAATAAAACCCAAATGAACCCCCAGACATCCTTGCATCTTCTGTCTTGTGCTGGCTCACACTGGGAACTTCCAAGCAGAAAATATTTACTTTTACAAAACTACTGAAAGTTCAGTGGAAAGCTAAAAAAGAACCATCGTCCAGCAAGAAGAGCCTTCGCGTCCCTTGACTCCCCTTCCCCATCTCCTGCAGCAGTGGGACAATAGGTGCCAAAGCGGAGTTTAGTAGGACACAAACAACACCGAAAAAGCCAAAAAGATGGAGGCGGCACATGTGGAGAGCAGGACAAGAACAAAACCCTGAAGAACAAAAAAGAAGCAGCAGGAGAAAAAAAAAAAAAAAAAGAACAGATGATATTTTTGGTATTTTCCATTGAATGCTGAGTTTGGAAACAATTAGCTCACAAGCTTCACTCGTGCCCCACCGCATCCTCTCCCCATTTCAAACAAAACCAAAAACAGTTGCTTAAAAACTTTGAGCCAGGAATTTGAATGAATTCCTATGCGCTGAAGTTTTTTACCCAGATCTGGGTTCAGAAAAATGGGCTTTTTTCCTCTTTATTGCAGAGTTCAGAAAGAGGAGAGAGGGATGACCAAGGGCCTACAGGAGCTCCCCAGGACTTAAAGAGGTTGAAGCCAGAGAGGCTGCAGGGGAGGGGACACAGGGATTGTCCACTCATCCTCTCCAGAGGGGAACGTACACTCCAACGTTGGGGTTTGCCCCATCCTGCTCATCCAAAGTACTCACGTACCCCAAGGCCCTGGCTACCCCAGCACCCTGGGGCCACAACTGCAGGTAGGTTTAAGAAGAGCTGGACTAACTCCTCCATCCTGCAGCCCTGGACCATTCGAAAGTGGTCCGTGAAACATGAATGAAGCTCTGTGTCAGTCCTCAATGCCCTGCCGCAGCGCTGGGGGACAGGCAAGGCTGGGCAGGAATGTTGAAAACCACAGCATTTTGCCAGTGACGTCTGTCTGCTTGCACAACAGCAAGGCTGCTCAAAGACAAACTTTGGGTGACAACCTGCTGTCAGATTTGGCCAGACCCATCTCACAGGTCTCAAAGAGGCCTCTCCCAGCAGGAGCATGTGCCCAGCCCTAGCACCCAAAAGGACCAGGACCATCATGAAGTCTAACTCTGACTCCTTCCTGCTCCCTCCACAGCACCCAGCAGAGATGGACACTCCTCACCAGTGAAGAAGAGTGTGCCCACTTGCTCCTTGCTTTGCTGTGTCCAGCAAGAGGTGCTGAAGGACCAGACTATAGCAAATAGAATCTGGGTGAGAAAGCTCAGGTGCACAGGGACACTGCAGAGACGCAGGACACAACACAGGAGCTGTGCAAGATACAGCCAGCCAGCCAGCCTCTCCTCATCATGGTCTCCACCTGGAACTGTACATTCCCAACTGTAAAGGTTGAACGAGGAGGACAGACATTGGCTGGGGGGTCTAGAAGGGCATCCCAGTGGCTCTGGCCACAGTAACCAAACTGCATTCAAGTTTTCCAGCCAAGGAATGTGGGCTGGACATGTCATCAAGCAGCTCAGCTTCAGGGATGGAGAATGAGGAACTGGGAACCCAGTCCCAGCACAGGCTGCCTCTCCCAGATCCCGCTGGGTCAGGACCCTGTAGCCCAACCCAGCACATCCCAAAGCATGGACAGCTCACAGGCGTTTTTGGGCTGAGGCCTGAAAGGAGGGATACGTACTGCCAGCAGGAAGGAAGGCCACGGGAGCTACAGGCTAAGCCAGGCAAAACAGGTTCAACTAACTGGGAGGAAGAGCACTGGGGAAGAGATGTACTGGTATGAAGGAACAAGCACGTGCCTTTGACCCCCTTCGTATCAAGAACGCTTTTATGGCAGGCACAGACCACCAGGCAAAGGAGAGAGTCTTAAAAGCTGGGCAGAAGCAGAAGTTGAGCAGAGGGTGAAGAAGCATCCTCACGTCTGAGACACAGATCACACCTCAGCCTACTTGCAGCGACAACATTTAGGCAACACCTACATGCTTCAGCCATGGTGTCACCAACCTGCGGGTGTGGGGAGGAGCCACCTTCCATTTTTAGTAAGTTTATTCCAAATGGCTCTTTAAGAAAGGGCATGGGCTGTGGTCTCCAGCCCTTCCAGGCAGACCTTGGCTGTTCCATCTCCATCCTCCTGAAGGGAGAGAGTCCACTCTTCCCCTTCCTCCACACCAGCCCACCTTTCCAGGCAGACAGCACTGCCTGAGACCCATGGGCCACTTGGACAAACCACGGCTTCAGGACATAGGGTTGGGGAAGCAGCAGCGCAGTGGCTGCTCTCCCCAGAGCCCAGCCCACACGGTGCCAAACTCCTTCCAAGCATCTGGAACTATGAGCCCAGCACTGCGGTCAGGCAGCACCGTCCTTGTTTTCCCCGAGCTGCCTTGGCAGAAGTCACCATCCTTCCTGGTGAGGGCAAAATCTTTGCTTTGTTTTTTTTTTTTTCTGTAAGAAATCAGCAAGGAGCATTCCTGGATTTGGCATGAACAGGCAAATGGATAAGCATCAGAAATGGATGGAAAAGCACAGCGTTTCTCTTAGAATAATTTATTAAATACAGCATTAAAATTTGTATTTATGAATTCAATCATTAAAAACAAAGCTTCATCTCATATATATATATATATCTCTATCTCCAGGGACAATGACAATCATTCTTTCTACCAACATTGGTGCATGTTGTGCCAGCACTGCTCAGAACGGCACCCTCTCTACACTATCCTTGAAGCAGTTCAACACTAAAAAAAAAAATGAAATTTCAAATAAAATAAAAAGCATTTGCAAAGAAAAGAGTGCAAAGCAGGGCTTGTCCCCAGCTGCCTGCCAAGGGTGTGCAGAGGTGGGTTAAAATGAGGAGGCAGAGGCTGCAGTGCTCCTAACAGGGCTGCGATATTGCCAGCCCAGCGCCAGGCAGCGCGGACACCCATTCTGCGAGGTGCCAAAGGTCTGCAGTCCACAATTTCTGCCGTGGCTGGATGCCAGCGGCTCTTAAGTATCTGGTTTGTGGTTTCCTCAGCTCGGGCAGTCAATACTAAAACAGCGAAACAAGGGAGAGAAGATAAAAATAAAAAAAAAATAGCGCAAAAGAAAAATGTTGGTTTACATCCACCGGCTTCTTCCCCCGACCTGCTGGTCCGGCAGCGGTGGGAAATGAGGCGGAGCAGGTTGTGTTCCCACTCACTCATTTTCACATCCTGCTGCGGCTCCAGGGGCGGCTCGGGGGACAAGCGGTAAACCAGTACTGGCTCGTGGAGAGAACAGTCCCCGGGCCAAGTGCCCTCGTGCTCCGGCTCGGCAGCGTGGGCTGCTCCTGCGAGAGATTCCCGGGAGGGTCGTCCCCGAGGGAAGGGCTCCCACGGACACGGTCCTTGGGCAGACTCCGAGGTAGCATCGCACAGACTTTTGTAATTTGATTGTCACGTAATTCCGGCCCGCCGAAGGCAGCGGCGGCTGGGATGGAGGGCACAGCCTGCAGGGGCGGGAGGTGGGACACGGGGGATCTGGATCCCCGCGCCTGCAGACTGACCGTCAGCTCGTCCTGGGCACCGCGGTGCAGCAGTGAGCAAGGACGCACAGTTTCCCACAGCGCCCTTCAGAGAAAAGATGCCCGTGCTGCAAAAGGCCCAAGCTGGCTGGTGGGCACCCCACGGCAACGCCGGGCTCTCCTCCACCGCTCACCGGGGCCCCCCGGGTTATGAGCAAGTGCCCCAGCGAGCTCCCCGCTGCCAGAGCCTGCTCTCCCCTCACCGCACGCAGGCAGCGGTGCAGCCCGCCGCGAGAGGACCAAAGGCTGCCAGACACTCACCCCACGACATGGGTACAGCGAGGGCTTGTGCTTTTGGCTTCTTGGGAGTCCCTGACCTTCTGAACCTGCTTACTCCAAGAAGCCTCCTGTTTCAGCTACCCTTAGGACATATGAGGACAAGGAAGAAGGGCTGTCAAAACCATTTCTGGAGAGCACATGGCCCCTGAAAGAGAAGAGAAAGTCCACACAGCCCAGCCTTCACCTCCAGTGGAGACATGCCAAGTCAGGAGCGGTTAAGATAAGGCATCGCAGGGGCTTTGATAGTAAAACAGTTAGTGTTGACTACAGTACTTTAAACACAGGCTGCGGCAGAGGGCATCCCTGGGGCAAAACCAGTCCTCCAGCACTTGGGGCAAAACCAGGAGATGGTTCAATTTCACAGACCTCTCCTACATACACACAGGGGCTGCTCTGGCTGCCCTTTTTGTCCTTCTTTTTTCCCCCTCCCTAGAAAGAGACTTAAAAAGCCCAGGCCGGGATGTGCCAGGTACCCCACCAAGCAGCCATAGAGACAAAAGGACGCCTTGTGCTGTACCAGACTGTGCAGTAGGCAGGTGAACCGTGGCGCCCGGGGGTGGGCAGCGCCAGCGGGACTCGAAGCAGGGGAGGCTAGTTGCCATTGCTGATGCTGGAGTTGGCACTGCTGCAGCTCTGCTCGTAGGATGGAGGTGCCTCTGCAGAGGAAAGAAAGAATACGAGTGGTTATGGTGGATGCTTGGAAGGTGCCCTTCAGCCCAGTCTGGTGCTGCTAACCCACGCCACACGTGCAGGCACTCTCTCTCCAGCACCCTATAGCCTGCCCCGCTGCAGTGAATAGGGGTTTTGTGTGCAAATGTAGAATATGAGCCAGTCAGTCTCATGCCTGTCCTGATGCCTACAAGGCTTAAAATTAGCACCTCAAAGTCCTGTTCTGTTTCTCCACTTCTTTCAAAAGCATCTTTCACGTACTCTAACACCTCCAGATCACGGGTGACCTGTGCTCCGTGTGCCTCAAGCCAGGGCTGAATCACATGCCTCGTTACCCCAGTGCTAACAGACAGGTTTATTTGGGTAGGACCGTGCTAACAGTCTGCCTGTGCTAACAGACACCGCTGCTCCCTACCACCCCAGTTGCCTGGGACAAGCATGGCTCCAGGACTCCGGCGGGCTGGGATTTCCCCAAGCTTTTCCACCCGGGATAGTCTCTCAGCTCCCACCCCCACAGCTTGTGTCTTCAGACCAGCTGCAGGCCCACTCCAAGTCAGACAGAAGAGTTCAGTTACATCATTTTCCTGGCTCTGCTCCCACCAGCCTCACCACAAGCCAAGAAGTTTTTCCATCAGTGGGAGGCTGAAAGCTCGTTTAAGAACAGGGAGATCCTCTCACGACAAGCCCAGGGCAGGCACGGGTGTCGAACGTGGGAACGGCCAGCCGGCTTTCGCAGCTGTAAGAGGGGACTCCTCTCTGCCTGCTTTACCCTCCGGAGATCTCATGATCTCCTCTGACATCAGCCCTGGGCAGGCTGACATCCCTATATACTCCCACTCGGTTCGCAGCTAGCAAAGACACTCTTGTCATAGGAGATGTTTCCGACCACACTGCCAGCCCGTTTAGATCCCAGGAGCGGGCTGCTCACCGTATGGGTAGCCCCACGTGCTGTACTCCGGAGGCAAAATGAGCGAGCTGGCCGTGGGGACAGGCACCACGTTCCCCTCAGCGTAGTAAGGGACTGTGGCTCCTGTTGACAGGCAGAGCGTGGGATGGTTTGGGGAGCTCGACTGCTCCGAGTCCACCCGTATCTCCTGGAAGCTCAGTCCTGGGGCGTAGCTGAAGGGCTGCTGCTGTTGGGAATGGCTTTTGGTGGGGATGGAGACATTGTCCATCGGGTGATAACCACTGGCAGCCTCCTCTTCCTCCGGGGGAGCACTGGGTACCACTGCAGATGGTATGTGCTGGATGGAGCGGGAGGGGCTCAGAGGCACCCTGTTCACAGCAATGTTACCAATATAAATGGGGAGAGTGACCGAAACCTCTGGTGACTTGAGGGAAACCTGGAAGAGAAGGAGAAACAGTGGCATCCTCTTCATTATACATTGCAATGGGAATGTTCACTTGATGCAAGGGCCACCTGCACCACACAGCTACGGAGTTCAGTGATCGAGCTCAGCACAGAAGGGAGCACAGAAGTTGCACCACAACCCAGTGGAGCTCCCCAAGATCGTCAAGGTACTCACTTGGATGTAGTAGTCTATATGTATGAGGCTACAGCCCTGCAGAATGGACTGGGGCAGTGCCGGAACGAGGATCTGCTCCTTCCATTCCGCATGTTTCCAGGCTTTCACTCCTGAACCTTCCACCTCCGCGATGGTCCTCAGGTCATAAATCCAGCGCTTGGATTTATAAGCCACTTTCTATACAAACAGGAGAAAAAACAGCTGGCAGAAAGATTTCAGATGGTCTTCTGTCTCCCACAGAAGGAAAACCACCCAATCGCTTTGTCAAATAAGCATGAGTACAAACCTGATGGGCACATTACAGGGCAGAAACACCCATCGTTACAAACAGACTGAACTGGTATAAGCGAGGTGTGTTCTGCTACCTCTTTCCCCAGGAAGGCAGAGAGAAAAAGAGTTAGCCAGAGGTCTGGACTCCTCACTGCCACCTCCCAGCCACGCATAGCAGAGATGCGTGGCGCGCTGAGAACTGCCCCAGTTTCACAGAGGTCTCAGGGAGGTGGGGTACCAGCACAAGCCGAAGAATCACCCTTTCGGATGCTTACCTGGAGCAGACTGGCAACCACAGCCCCGGTGTCCCGGCCCGATTTGTTCTCTATGTCAGTGCGGAGCTGGATCGCTTGCCCCACGATGTACCCTTTCAGATCCGAAGTGGCGGTCAAGACAATGTTGCCGCTTTTCACGAGCTTGTAGTTGAACTTCTTCGTGACTGACATAGTGTTGGGCTGCTGCAGGACAGCAAACAGACAGAGGTGTTGACTCAAGGTCAGAGAGCCTCCAGGAAAACACTCAGAGATTCAGAACAAGCAAGCAAAAATATTCTGGTCTAAGAGGATGCAAAGAACCAGCAAAACAGCACTGCCACAGGCAACAGGTCTCACTTCTCCAACCCCTCAGTTTTGCTGCCCTGTTAGTCTCTCTTCCTCTCAAAGCAAGTTCCCCAAACCCAGGTCTCTATAAGCACCTGGTGCTACTGGCAGACACCTCTCTCTGCATGCTGAATATGCACTTAAATCTTCCAAAGCAGTGTGTGGAAGAGTCAAAAATCACCGAGAGCATGGACTGATGGCAAGGCAGGACAGATGAGGAGCCCTTGCCCTGCTCTTGCACAGTCAGGGCATGCAGAGAGTTGTCCAACCACCCAGTCATTCCCCAGACAGCACGCATGACAAGTGCTGAAGCCTTGGCGCTTCCCAGCCATGCTCCTTGTTCTTACCTCAATGTCAGGGATGTCGTTCAAGTTGAGAGGGCAGAGAACGTAGAAGATCTTGTTGCACTTGTAGTCCTTGGAGAAGCGAGGTGTGTCTATCACAGCTTTCACCTGATGGAGGACCTTGCCAAAAGGGCCTTCAAAGGAGGTGGGAGCAGAGGCTAGAGTAAAGAGAGAAAGAAAAGGATCAAGGCTGAGTCAGGCCAAGCGTTTCTGAACTGGAAACAGTTTCTTTTAACAGCTTTCCTCCTCACCTAAAGAGTTCTGCAAGTACCTTAGAGACAGGGATCCCCCCCAAAAAGCCCTGGGACTGAACAGTTCAGTCACTCGGAGACCTTGCTGCGACCTCCTCTCAGAAGAGATCCTCTGCAACCACAAGTTCAAGAGCAGAGATGCTCTCTGCGAGGGAACTGTGCGCAGGACGACCGGCTGGCCACTGGCCAGGACCCCTGCACATGCCCAGAGAGCTCGCAGGGTCACACCTGGAGAGGCATCGGCGACAGCTCAGACCCGGCTTTGCACCGCGCAGAGGTATCTGCTTGTCTGCGCTCCTCTGCTGCCTGTGGCTGACCCGACAGCCCCTCTAGGGTCTCCGGGCCAAGCTCCCAGCCTGCCTCTGCCATTCAGCCCAAGTCCTGCTCAGCACAGCTCAAGAGGCTGCAAAAGCCAAGGCTTTTCGGAAGTGCCTTCAGCCATTTATGTGCATCATACCTGGCAGCAGGAACTGGAAGGGAAAGCTGTGCTCTCCAGCTGTCAGGACCCCTGTGGGAAAGAAGAGTAAAAGGTAAGTGGGACAGGCCATCGCCTGGGAACATCATCTTCTGGAGAGAGGCCATCGCCTGAGGAACACCACAAATCCTGTTCAGCTGCCTTCAGCCCACTGGACAACTCCATGCTTATCCTCCAGATGCAACGAGCAGTGCTTGGGTCAACATGAGCATCTGCTGCCACCCACCTGCCCTTGGGACAGGGGACATCTCCATTCCCAACGACTTGTTCTACGTTAAGATACTCTAGAAATAAGGTAGTTTGGGGCAAGGTTTAAGGGATCCCAGTGCCATAGCAAGCACATATGGCCCTGACACAGGGCATGGAGAAGGGATGCTGTGCGTTTCTCTTTCCTCAAGTAGGCTGCAGCCAGTCAGGGGGAAGGCAACAAAGCAGAGGTGCTGTCTGAGGGTGGTTAGGAGGTCTGGTGGTCATCAAGCCGCTATTATTGCCTTAGCCTTGGCCACACACCAAGCCCCACGCAGACTGCACAGCGTTCAGCAGCTGGAACCAGAGGTCCTTCTCCCAGGCCTAAATCCACCCCTGGTCCCAAGAAGGGACCTGTAATACCTCAGCCCAGCTGCTTAGACAACAGGAGCCAAGGAGAAGATTTCTGCAACGTCAAAACCCCAATACTGGTTTTCTTCAGCTGCGTCCCGCTCTGCAACAGTGGCCTCAAGGGCACATACCAGGGCCGAGGCTTGGCAGCTACAACAACAGCTACAGCCTCAGAATTCCTGACCCTACCCACTCCCATGCAGACTCCCAATTCCCTTCTGGGATAGCCACGATGGCTGAACTGGACCTGCAGTGTGATCCAGTAACGTAAGGCAGCTGCCAAAGTTGCCTTCGGTAAGAAAAGCACTAAGGCTTATCCCCATTTGTTAAATACAGGCAAACACGAGAGGTTTTGTTTTTCAGGTGGCAGTGCTGAGAGGAGCCCTGGATACCCATTAAATCAACTGGGTTTACTCCGCTTTGTAGGATCAGTGCTGGAGGTACCAGGACTAGCTTTGGCTGGCTCTTTTGTTGATGCAAGACGGAGGAGACAGCTTGCCCGTGAGCAATACTGGCTCTGAAGAGCTGACAGTAATAGAGTCCTGTCGTCAGGGGATTAAAAGGATTATGTGACAAGGGGAGGTGGGGAAAAGAAAAGGGTAAATCCCCCCTCCGCACTGGCGCTGCGATCCAGGGAGGAGGCAGGAGAGGTGGCCTTTGGCTCGGTGCATCCTTCCAGCTACAAAAAGCTGCCCCTCCGCTCGCTCAGCCACCCCATGGGGACCTAAGGACACCCCAGTCAGCGAGCACCCCGCCTGCAGCACAAAGGCAGGCGGAATAAATCATACAATAAGCATCCCGTCGCGTGTCGCTACGAAGGAAAGTCAGGAGAAAACCAGGAGGTGTCTACGCACACGCTTCATCCTTACGGAGAGGAGAAGGATTTGCTCATTCCCATCACCCCACCCAGAACACCTCCCTGGTGAGTTCCCTCTCGTCCCCCAAATAAAACCGAATTATGTAGGTTAAAATGCAACACTCGGTCTTGTCACCAGGTGGAGGCACAAAGCCAGTCCCCGCCTGCGCTGCCAGGCCCACGCAGCGCGGGAACGGGCACCGAGCTGCGGGGCAGCTTCTCCTATTCCCTTCTTGGGAAGCTTCTCCTGGTCAAAGGAAGCGGGTTGAGATGTAGCAGGTGCCTTTGCTTCTTGGTTACGGGGTAAAGCCTGGCTAATATGAATGACTCAACTAACCCAGTGCTCGTCTGCTGCGCCAAGGGCTTCTGCCTTTTATTGGGCACCGTTCAATGTTGATCTTATATCCTTTATTCTTAATTTTGGAAAGCAAATTGATAAACCGGAATGCATCGACTCTCCTGTGCATCTTTGCATTGCAGTAAGGGGACTTGCTGCATCTGCAAGGGAGAGGGAGCGAGTCCTGTTACTGCAATGCAGAAGGGAGATGGGAGCCCCAGAGGGTAGTAACCACTGAGTTTCCACCAAGACCTGGAGACTTTCCAGCTGTCTGACCTGCAGAGCCCCAGATGAATGCGCAGGCAGAGATTTCAAGTCTTCTGCCAGGAGCATGAAACTTCACAGCCTCTCTGGGACCCTTAGGAACAGCTCACAGACCCCACGAGGTGAAAGTCCCTCTTCTATGTTACAGGTGGCTTGATCTAGCAAATCATTTTGGTCCAGCTCCTGCCCAGCTTACAGGCACCAACAGAAACCCAGCCTGGAAGTGAACCTGCCAGCACTTCATGTTCCCAGTTTCCAACCCCCCTGCAGAAAGCCAGGGGTCCCAAAGGTTGCTCCCAACGGCAGCACCAAGCAAGGCAATACGCTCTCCCAGCAACACGCATGGCCAGCATCACTCGCAGAGGGTGCGGTTGAGCACTCGGAGCCGCTGCGTGACTTGGTGGCACTGATACAACTTCCACACATGGGTAGCCCAGCCTCTGAGTAAGCCACCAGATGAGAACTGTCCATGGGTCAGGGCTGACCACCCTGATACCTCAGGCCAAGCCCGAGTGCCCAGAAACCAGTTGGCTCACAGCGTACTCAGACTCGCTGTAACCCCTCCCGGGGCAGGGAGCAGCCTGAATCCCCCCTGCAGCTCCTGCCTGCAACAAGCTGCCCTGGAGGGCTGGAAAAGGCCGTTCCTGCTCTTCAAGGCCAGTGATAAGTTCCAAGATCAGATACCCCAGACTGAAGTCATGTCCCGTCACAACTCAGGCAGCCCGAGGGCATCGCAGTAGTGCTCGGCTCGTGGCCACGAGAGCCCAGACCTCAGCCCTGCACCGAGCAGGGAGCCAGGGAAACGCAGGGAGCTCTATTCTCCACTCCATTAAGCAGAGAGATGCTGCAGGCAATTAGCAGTAGCTCTTGTTTTCAGACCTGCTCCTTCCAGCCCACACTCTCCTTCCTCCAGAGAGAAGGGTTTTTATCCCAATCCTGAGATCCTCCACATATAGGGAATTTGCCAGCAGCCTGGACCAAGCACCCAGATCCTACCCACAGGAGCAGACGCCACCGCACACGGCTTTGTTTGCCAGCATGGCCAACGAACCGCCAGCTGCTCGCAGAGCCCCGACTTCCAGCTGCGTGCCTGCAGTTCTTGCCCTTATCGCAAGGACAGAGGCTGCTTGGGCAGGTCACTGGTGGAGGGGCTACCAGCGGCAGCAGCACCCTCAGCCCCACATCCAGCTCGGAACCCCAACCCTCGATGCTGGAGCCCTTGGCAGCCCGGAGCGGGCATTTCGAGGAGCCCACTGGTGAGGAAAGCAGAAGGGGTGTGGGAGTTCAGTGCCAGAGCTATTTCAGAGACAAGAGTTAATAAAAATAGATGAAGAAAAACAGACGGTCCTGACCAAGACAGGAGAGTCCCGCGAACGCACAGGCACAATCCCGAGTGCCTGGCAGAGTGACATGGCAGCAGAGACCACAGGCAAGCTCGGGTCCTGCCCGCCTCCGCTGTGGGCAGGGGAGAAGCAGATATTTAGCAGTAACCCCACACCAAGTTGCTCTCCAGGCTCCTACTTGCCTCTCCTGGCAGGAGCTCCTCCAGCATGGACACAGGGCAGGCTTTGTGTCCGACTTGCCTGTGCTTACAAAGCCATTTCGGGCTTTTGCCACCCGGCTGGTGCCTTTGGCAGGTGGAAAGTTGGCGAGTTCCAAGCCAGGTCTCCCCTTGCAATGGGAAGGGAGGTGGCAACTACTTTTAAACTCTCCAGTTGGCAACTCTGCTCCTAAAGGCTGAGCTTCCATTTCCAAATGCTGACTAGTCTTGACATAATGGGGAAAACCTACAATTTCCCATGTCCCAGTCACTCCGTGGGCACAGGCAGGCACAGGCTGAACTTGTCCCAACACCCAGGTCCCTCTCACATGGAAAACAGCAGCAAAAGCCACCTCGGCACCCTGTAAGGGACACTTGCAGCGCTCACCCATTCCGTGAAGCCACTGCGACAGCAGGACAAGGTAACATGTGCCCCACTAGCCACGCGCCTGCCTTGGAGAGATCCCTGGACCATGGCAGGGCAGACGTGGCATCGTGCACAGCACATCTGCTGTAGGACACCAGCACCAGGCAGCAAGGGGGACACAAGGCCCATGGGAAGCCTCTGTCCCTCCAGCTCCGAGAGCTTCAAGTAAAGATCCAGGACAGCTAATGTGCTAATTCCACCTGCAAGTTGACTTTGCAAGAGACCGCTGTTGGCAGCAGGTGGAGGTGACAAGGTTTCCTCTGCCAGCCACCGTGACACCCGGATACCCGGGAGGAGCAGCCCTTTTTGAAAGCTCCTTTCTGAGCTGCTCCTGAACCAGCAGCTTCGCCAAAGCGAGCCGCAGGCCACGCAGGTCGGCAGGAGCTCAGCGTCGCTCGGGGGTCTCCAGCAGCTCCACGCTCCTGAGCGGCTGGCAAATGTCCTGCCAGGGGAAAGGGCTGTGCCAGCCACTGCAGCCGCACTGAGCCATCACCTCCCGTTCCCAGAAGCCTGAACAAAGGCCACAGTGTGCTCGGCCGCAAAAAAGCTTTTCCTGAAGTTTACGTGCAGCTAAAAATACCTTGAGAAAGTCATTAGGCAGCAGAGGCAGCTGGATTAGCAGGGTTCTGCTGTGGGGCCGTACCTGCAGCAGCCTTTCCTCCCGATAGGAGCCGAGCCAGCAGAGATCGGCCACCCCCGCACAGCCTTTGGAAACATCCTCTCTAAAAATTCCTGGAGAGAAAGGAGCTGCTGCCCCAGACAGCCTGGAAAAAAACAAACCCAGACAGCGGGAGCAGCAGCAACACGCTAACAGCACAGAAGAGCTGTCTTACAGTGCAAAGCAGAGAGTGACCTTGGAGATTTCCCTGAATTCAGCAGAGATTTCTCTGGAAGTGAACAGACTCACCTGTTCACAGCTCAGCTGCTCTGCTCTGCTCCACGCTGGGACAGGGGGGTGTCTGCTTGTACCAGCGGATGTGGAGGAGGCCTGGGAGGACTCGTCATGCCTTGA